GCATAGGGTCACTATGAGTTGGTACTCACTCGATGGCACCTAACAACAACAACAACATATCTCAACTGCCAAACCACTGAGAATCCTGGCCCGGTTAAACTGATGCCAAACCTTAACTATCACACCAACCCTGTATACACAGGGTTGTATACAGATTTGTAGGGTTTCCAAGGAGTGACTGGTGGGTTTGAACTGCCAGCCTTTCTGTTAGCAGTCCAGTGCTTATCCTACAGTACCACACTAGCTACGTCACTGGTATCCTACCCAACCCCTCTTCCAAAAAGGCATGGAACTAGCTAAAACTCTAATCTGATCACAACAATCCTTTGTTTTCAATATTGCCACTGTCTTCAGAATAAAACCCAGCCTCCTTAGCATAGGCTTCTGCCCACTTTTGTTGCCCAGCTTCTGCAACTCTGTCTAGTCACTCCTCTGGAAGACTTTTTGAGTTATCCAAACAGCAGCATAGTCTAGGGGCTGAAATGTGGGCTCTGAAGCCAGATATTGAGTTCAAATCCAGAATCTGGCTCTACCATTCACTAGCTTCATGACTTTGGTAAAATTCTGAAGCCTCTCTATGCCTACATTCTTCAGCTTTGAAATGGGAACAATAGTAGCCGTTGGGCCACAGGGTGGTAAGAATTCAGATATGATACACCCGAAATGAATTCCAACAACATATTGCCCTGGGCAGTTCTGCTGTTAAAGACCTCTTGAAAGTGTTAAAAAGAAAAGATATCACTTTGAGAACTTAAGTGCACTTGACCCAAGCCATGGTATGGCACTGTAGGATAAACACTGGACTGCTAATGGCAAGGCCAGTGATTCAAACTCACCAGCCACTCCTCAGAAACCCTATACAGGGTTGCTATGAGTCGGAACTGACTCGACAGTACTTAACATAACATATAACATATGGATGGAAAAGCTAGATAAAGAAAAATGGATGCATTTGAATTATGTTGGCAAAGATTATTGTATATACCATGACTGTCAGAAGAGTGAACAAGTCTGTCTTGGAAGAAGTACAGTCAGAATGCTCCTTAGAAGACAGGATGGTGAGACTTTGTCTCATGTACTTTGGACGTGTTATCAGGGGGATCAGTCCCTGGAGAAGGACATCGTGCTAGGTAAAGTAGAGGGTCATTGATAAAGAGGAAGACCCTTAGTAAGATGGACTGACACAGTGGCTACAACAATGGGCTCAAACAGAACAAGTATGAGGATGTTCGGGCAGAGTTTCATTCTGTTGTACATAGGATGAGTCAGAATCAACTTGATGGCACCCAATAGCATCACATGTGAAATGTATAGAAAGTGTTCACTAGCAGTTTTTAGTTGCTGTTGAGTTGGCTTTGACTTATGGAGTCCCCATAGACAACAACAGAAAATATTGTCTGGTCCTGTGACATCTTCAGGATTGTTGGTATGTTCAAGTCCATTGTTAGGCTGTTGTGTCAACCCATCTATTGAGGGTTTCCCTCATTTTAACTGACCCTCTATTTACCAGTCACCATGTTTTTTCTAGCTATGGTTCTTTCCTGATGACATGCTCAAAGTACAACTTGCTATCTTTGCTTCTAAGGAACATTCTGGTTGTATTTGGAACCTTTTATTACCTCTTTTTGTGTGTAAGAACCTTTCTCTCCTTTATCCCTTAACACTTTGCTCAGGCACCACATCCTCCTCAGTACCTTCCCTGCCCCCAGGCTGGACTAGATGCACAGCTCCGGACTCACTCGCTTGGCTCCATCACCCTCTCTCACTTGGCTCCATCACCCTCTCTCACTCAGCTCACTGCGTGGTGTGGTCATTGCTTACCTGCCTGGATCCTGCACAGAACTCGTGGTCCTCCGGACAGGAACAGTGGCTCCCTGGTCTTTCTCTTTGTAACTCAGCTGCCTAGAGCCAGGTGCAAGCTGGTGTTTGGCAAGTGTTTAGAGAGTAAATGGACCAAAGAAACCGAATAAAAATCAAAGGACAAAAGTGTTAAAAAATAAAGAATAGGCCTCCTCTACCACTCGCCTGTAATTTGTTTTTCAAAGTATTGTATACTCCATGGATTTATCTTACTGTTTTTCTCAGAGGCCCTGTCTGTATTGAGTTGTTTCCTGGCCAACTCTTGAGCCTGATAGCATCATGGTTTTGTAAAAGAGAGTGAAAAAAAGTAGTATGTGTTGGCAGTGAGGAGGGAGCTGGTAGAAGAAGGAAGTTCTCAGTCTGTTCCTAGGTGACAGGTATCCAGGGACACTACTTTTACCAAAGGAGACTACAACAGTCGAAATAAGATTGCAAATGTGTACTTAAGAACAGAAGAGAAAATCTCACCTGCTGAGTTGAGTCCTGGCTTAGGGCCTGTCTGTCCTGGTTTAGGGCCTGTCTGTCCTGGCTTAGGGCCTGTCTGTCCAACATGACAATGGCTCTCTACCTTTTGTTGGACTATTCTTCCCTTTCTTTATTAAATTACAAAATATGTGTAATTCACTTCTTTTAAAAAAAGTTGGGCAATACAGAGGGATAAAAAGGAAGAAGTAAAGGGCCTCAGCCTCCAGGTCATACTCTCCATAAGTAATCTCTGTTTCAGTGCATATTAAAAACCACAGATATAATGAAAAACATATATAGGTAGATATGTTGTTGTTGTTGTTGTTATGTGTCGTGAAGTCGGTTCTGACTCATAGTGACCCTGTACAGAGTTTCCAAGGCTGTAAATCTTTACGGGAGCAGAAAGCCTCATCTTTCTCCTGCGAACGGCTGGTAGTTCCGAACTGCTGACCTTGCGGTTCGCAGCCCGATTCATAACCACTACGCTACCAGAGCTCCTATAGATAGATATAGTAAAAATAAATGTGTAATATTTTCTGTTGTAAAGTCTGCATTTCAATATCTGCATTTCAATGACATTAAGATAAATGGAGAAAAGATGGAAGTTGTCAAAGACTTCATTTTGCTTAGATCAACCATAAACACTTACAGAAGCAGTGGTCAAGAAATCAAACAACATACTGCATATGGTAAATCTGTGGCACAAGAACTCTTTAAAGTATTTGAGAACGAAGATGTCAGTTTGAGGACTAAAGTGTGCCCGACCCAAGTCATGGTATTTTCAATAACCTCATATTCATGTGAAAGTAAAACTGTGAATAAAGAAGACCATAGAAGAATTGATGAGTTTGAGTTATGGTGTTGTAGAAAAATATTAAGACTACCGTGGGCTGCCAAAAGAACAAACAAATCTGTGTTGGAAGAAGTACAGCCAGAATACTCCTTAGAAACTAGGATGGTGAGACTTTGTCACTCATACTTTGGCCATAGTATTGGGAGGGTCCAGTTCCTGGAGAAGGACATCATGCTTGGTAAAGTGGAGGGTCAGAAAAAATGAAGAAGACTCTAATAAGATGGATTGGCACAGTGGCAGCAGGAATGGGCTCAAGCATGGCAACCATTGTGAGACAGGCACAGGAGTGGGTAGTGTTTTGTCCTGTTGTGCATAAGGTCACTATGAGTCGGTACTGACTCAATGGCATGTAACAGCAACACAATTATATTTACTATTTGGTGCAGCCATTCTTGTTGTTATTGTTAAGTTCCAATGAGTCAGTTCTGACTCATAGTGAGCAGTTCAAAACTACCATGTATTCTGTGGCAGAAAAATGAGGCTTTCTGCTCCTCTAAAGATTACAGCCTTGAAAACCCTATACAGGGTCACTATGAGCAGGAACTGACTCCACGGCACACCACCACCATCACCATAAGGTGAATAGTAACTCCTTACAACAAAGCATTGAAGATCAAAAGGACTGGGCTTTCCAAGAGACAAAGTTCAGGAAGGGGTAGGGAAGAAGGACCAATGGAAATGGGAATGACAGGGAGGACGTGTGAAGAGTGCTGTTACCTTGCAGGGATCACAATACCACAAAACAAAACATGTCTGAATTGTTGAATGGAAAACTGTTTTGTTCTATAAATTTTCATCCAAATCGCAACAAAAAGTTTTTGTTTTTTTTTTTAAATAAAAAACCACACATTTTTCATCACCCTTAGCAGAAATTCAGTACCCTCTAAGCAATATTTCCCCCTCTTCCCTGTTCCTGGTAACCACTAACAGACTTTGGTTCTCTATGTAGTTGCCTACTCTAGGTTTTTAATGTAAGTCAGATCATATAATATTTATCTTCTCATGTCTGACTTATTTCACTCAACATCATGTTTTCAACTTTCATCCATGTCATAATATGTATCAGAACTTAATTTTTTTTTCTGACTAAACAATATCCCATTGTATGAATATACCACTTTTTTTTAATCTACTAATTTGTTGATGGGCATTTGGGTTATTTCCACCTTTTGGCCATTGTGAATGAAACTTCAATGAACATTATCCATGTAAATTTTTTAAAAGCATATAGGGAGGTTCACATGTCCAGCATGGTTGTAACCGTGCTTTGAAAAAAAAAAAAAATCGGATGTGTAAATAAAAGTATGTTAGTTTTGCATGGAGGGACAAGCTGGATGGAAATACATGCATTTTCTACATGGGGATGGAAAAATATGTATACTTAGTATATAATACATACAAGGAACCCTTCCTATCTGTACCTGTAGCATAGGAGTGGAATAGACAGCAAGCTTGGCTTTGCCGTTTCTCACTGGTTCGTTACTCAACAACTCAGGGCCATCTAGGATGTGCCAAACTTACAGAGATTAGTAACCAAGTATCCAGCACATGAGGATGCTCAATCAAATGAAGCCACCTATTCTGGGAGCCCTGGATTTCTTGATTTAGAATATCTGGACTGGAAGTCAATGTTGGGATGGGGTGTGAGGTGCTTAAGAAGTGTGCCTGGGAGCAGATGACATATCTCTTCAGTCTTTTCAGTGAATCTTAAGTGCCTCCCTCCCATGCACACTACACCCACACTCCTCCACCACACCTTTTTTTTTGAAGGCAGATTTATAAATTTATTTGATCATAAACTGTTAGTTTTCATCCACATTGACTGTAGGTTTTTGAAAGTGGTGACCGGCACATAGGTCACCAGTATATAGAACTTGCTTGGTGAATCTTCATCCTCTTTACGTTTTCTAGACAACCACATACCTTTGGCCCAGACAGCTTTGTTGAGCCTGGTGTCATTGAGCAAGTCTGGTGTTCCCATCTCCTTCATGGCAAATTTCTGAATCTCCTTGAGTGCTCGAGGGGCATGCTTCTTGAAGACTACTCCATGGATGAGCTTGTGAATGTTGATGGTGTACTCTCTGGTCACCACTTCATTGACAGCAGAACGGCCCTTCTTCTCGTCACCCTTCTTTTCAGGAGCCATAGTGAAGGGACCAGGTTGGAACAGAAGAGCACAGAAGATTGTGTGTGTGTAGGGGGGAAATGTCCGTCCCCATTTTGAAAGCTATTATCACTCTTCTAACTAGTCACTTTCAATAAAGGCCAAGGGAAGCACAGCACCTGTAGGCTGGGGCTTTTGAAAGCAGAAGCAACAACTGTGTGAGGGAAAGCCCAGATCAGGTGGGCAGCCCTGGCTGAATCTGAAACTACAACTGAGCCTGACAGTCTTACAAAGGGCCTCTTGTCAGTCACGGAGAGGGGCTGTCCTGGGTGCCCTTTGTGACGCTATTCTGAGGCCACATGGGCAGTGAGTCCATTAGACCTCTGGGTATCATTCTCCAATGCCCATTTTGGGTGGCTTCCCCTCCACAAACATCCCCTTCAACACAGCCTATGTTTCTTGACTTACCTCACTGCTGCCTCATTTGAGGGTTCAAAGATGGCTAGTACTTTTTGTTTTTTTACAACAGCTCCTGCCTGCAGTGAGAGCAAAAATGGGTACCAGCACATCTTGTTCTTCAGATGACGTATCTGTGACATACAGAAATCAGTTTTCAGATAGACAGGGATGAAAAGAATCCCTGTTTGGGAAGGAAGAGGGAGTGCCACTATGGCCTCCCTGTCTCCCGTCATTTAAAGAGCAACCCTGGAAGCAGATTTCCTCCAACAATGTTGTCAGCTCCATTCAAAGTGGGTTCTCCACAAAGGAGTCCTTGTTACCTGATACCCAGTACAGAGCTTGCTTTCTGTGCCTGTAAGGGTGGACTGTCTCACCTCTGCTCTCCTGACTTGTATTTGGACTGATCAGGAAGAACTTTTCTCAGATTTAAGATGACCAGTCATTTCTAATAGGTGACAAGAAAATAGTCAATAGAAAAAAATAAGAACATTAAAGAAGGTAGGAAATTAAGCAATAAAAACCCAGCCAAACTCATTGCCTTTAAGTAGATTTCAACTCCTAGTGAGCCTGTAGGACAGAGTAGCCTTGCTCCCTCTGGTTTCCAAGACTGTAAATCTTAATGAAAACCAACATCCACAGCTTTCTCCCATGAGCAGCTGGTGATTGGAACCACAAACCTTCTGATTAGTTGTTAAGTACTGTTGAGTCAATTCTGACCCGTAGCGACCCTGTATAGGGTTTCCAAGGAACAGCTGGTGAACTTGAACCACCAACCTTGCAGTTCAAACGACTTTGCAGTCTGATGCATTAACCCACAGTAGTCGTGTGCTTAACCACTATGTCACCAGGGCTCCTTAAGCAATAAAGTAGAACAGAAAACATACAGTAAAATAATAAACGAGTTTAATATACAAATTTCAAGTTTGAAAAAACGATTTCTTGTGTTTTAAACTATTTTAAACAGCTTAGTGGGCGTCTCAATTTCCACATTCAAACTCAGTCTGAAACGTGTCACAGCTGTTAAACTCCTCATTGGTTCACTGCTGCCCCCATGTGTCTGATGCAAAAATCACAACACAGAGCTTGTCTGAACAATGTTATGCTTTGCAATGAGTGGCAGAAACCCCATCAGTCTGTTAGTTCTCATGACAATAAACAGTAAAGAATTGAAATAGTGTTTTAGCTTGCCAGTGAGTTTTGTATAACCCAGGTGAATTTTCCAGAAGTGTTTGATTTTAGAAGGTATCATCAAATTATCCTCAACCCGACCCATTCCCCACCCCCCACCCCCGCCCAATTCATTATGCCTTTGCTAAAGGAATAAATTTAATTCTTAGATGGAGTGGTTATGATTATATTCAAAATGCAAGCCCGACTAATGATACCCCCTTCCTGAGAAACCATATGACTTATTTATTGATCTGCATTAGATTTTATTTTATAGCATCCAGGATCATTGAAAGCTTGCATAAAGAGTCTGTGAAGTCAAATAATTTCTGACACATGGCTCAAACAAACAGGCATCAAAGTGCAACCTCCCTGTGCTCAGTTGGTGCAACTGTCTTTAGTGAGCAGATTGATTTCCCATTTGGATGGGAAATTAGGTTGCCTCTGTGAGTTTTTAATTAAGTATCAAGTCTTCATGTTTCTTGTTCATCTGTAGTTTATATGAATTGCTTCTTGCTCCCAAGGTGGAATTTGGGAAGTGCTTCTCTTTGACATTATCCATAATGGGGAAAATGACTATTTGTCCTCATCTTAATCTCAGCATCTTTCTGAATTGCACAGGCAGATTCAGTATCACTTCCCAAAGCAGTTGTTAAAGCAGCTTCCTGTGGTTTCTGAGCACCCATCTATGGATCCTATTGATCTTACACTGTCCAATCTAGAAATAGCTCTGTGAGAGAGCTCACAGGCTTTCGCTCCTACCAAAGGAATGAAACAAGTCTGGTCAAAGCCATTATCCACAGAGGACTTTCAGGGTCAGAGTCTCTTGGACCCCATGCCTGCTCATAAGGAAAGCTGTGATGAACCTGGTTTGAGAATGTACAGGGGTGCATTTGGCAGAATTGCTAACACGTTTTGCAATTCTTTTAGTAACCTGTATGGGTTTCCTGCAAACTAGGTCAACACCAGCTGTCTTAGTTCTCTCGCGCTGCTATAAACAGGAATACCACAAGTGGATGGCTTTAACAATCAGCACTGTAGTTCACAATTTAGGAAGCTAGAAGTCCAAATTCAGATGCTCATCTCTTCAGTAGCTGTAGGCCAGCATGCCTTGGAGATGCCCATGTGTCTTGGCATCAGTCTTTCCCTGGATCTAAGAGCTTCACAGTGTAGAGACCCCAGGTCTCAAGGAGGCACACCACTCTCTTCTTTCTTGGTGGTAGTAGTTCCCGCTTTCTCTGCTCACTTCTCTCTCCTTACGTCTTTGTAAGACAAAAGATATTGCAGACCACAACTCTGAGCAAGTTCCTTTACATTGGCTGCTCATCGTGGAAGTGATTACATTATATCTTATCATGGGGAATTACTATGTCTTAACTGCTAAACCACTGAGAATGCTGGCCCAGTCAAGTTGACACAAAATGTTAACTACATATCAGTTTTTCACCTTGAAGGTAAGACAGAAATATGGACACAAACCTAGATACGAGATATGGACACAAACCTGGATATGAGATATGGACACAAACTGAGCTATTTCTGTTCCACTTGCTAAATTGCTCTGACCAAAAACTTCCCTGAATTCTTAGTGACAGTCCAGGTTGACAGACAAGGTGTCTCTCCACATCTGAAATGGCAGATGAGAGCTCAGACCATAGGAGTCCAGAATTTCTAGTAGGAACTTTGGGGTAACTAATCAAAAGGCAAGTGGTTTAATTCCACCCAGAGATACCTTGGAAGAAAGGGCCTGATAATCTATTTCTGGAAAAATCAGCCACTGAAAACCTTACGGATCACACTTCAACTGACACACATGGGGCAACTTGAGTTCAAATTGACTCAGTAACTAGTGCTGTTGTCGGTAACTTTCTGATGTGTAGTCCTGGTGTGGTGCTGTGGGAGATGCTCTGGAGCACAAGGTCAGTTTAAACTGGAAGGTCGGTGGTTCCAACTCACCAGTCACTCAGAAACTCTAAACAGGGTCGCTATGAGTCGGAACCCACATCCGGTTAGATGTCAGAGCTTCAGGGGCTATCTTGAGGTTATATTTGCATTTAAACACACTGTTTTCAGTTGGGTGCTTATTTGTTGTGAACTCTGGCAATTGCTGATGGAGCAGCCCATTGTAATGGCCACAGAAGATTTAATTTCTTTGTGCTTCAATTTTACAAAATGTAAGCTCTATGTTTAAAAATGATGAGAAATCTGAGTGGGAGCCATTGCCACCAAGTCTTTACGTTTGGCATCTCAGCCTGTGTGGGTGGGTGGGGTGGGAGTCTATTTTTCTAAGTGACCTTGGGTGGGCAGGCTGAAGCAGGTGTGAAACCTAAACCCATCTTTGGCCTATGCCTTTGTCAATGACCTCTGCTGTATTTACCCGTCTCTTCACCATACTGTTGGAGATTGTGCTGCTTAGATTGCTGTATGTGTGTCCACAAAGGATGTGGAGTTGGGTCAAAGTTTGGTGTACTTACTGAAGCCACAGGGTAAATATATCTTCTTGAATTGTTGATTGTAGTCAAAGGTTGGAAGGAAATGTATAGTTCTATTAGAAAATGAAGGATCCCGGGTAACATATAGTGAGTTACGAATTAGGCTGCTAACAACAAGGTCAGCAGTTCAAATCTACCAGCAGTTCTGCAGGAGAAAGATGATACTTTTTGCTTTCGTAAAGATTTACAGCCTGGAAACCCTATATAGGGTCATTATGAGTTGGAAATGATTCCATAGTGCACAACCACGACCACTAAGAAAATATATCATATAGAGTGTGAATTAGTTGAGATTAAGGAGCAGAAAAATCTGAATGAACAACAGTGATTTACAGAAAGGAAACTTTTTTTTTTTTAATATGCAGAAATTTGAGTGCTAACTCAGTTGAGAGCTGATATGGCCTTCCTTCCACAGGCTTGGTCTTGACAAACTTCCATCCTTACAACCACCTTATGGCACATCACACCGGCTTTTAGGAGGTGTGCCAAAGGAGAAGGTGCCTTTAAGTGTGTATTCCAGACAGCAGAAAGGAGGAAGAAATGTTCCTTAGGAATACTAGCAAGTCACATAGATCACTTTTTTCTTTTAAATCACATGGCTAAAACTCTACAAGGGAGGCAGATGTGTGCCACCTAAATTTGTGGCATTGTGGATTAATGTGCCAAACTGCAAAGCCGTTTGAACTGCAAGCTCACCAGCTACTCCTCGGAAACCCCATACAGGGTCACTATGGATCGGAACCAATTCAACAGCACTTAACAACAACAACATGGTTGTGAAAATAGGGAAATGGAGATTTGGGGTGGGGAGGGTCATTTTTAACAAACAGCCATGTGATGCTGATGTGGTTGGTCCATGGATCACACTTTCAGTAGCCAGGCAAAGTACCTTGCATGACCTGACCCATCTCCTTCGAAACTTTA